CAGGTTTTTTTTAATATACAGATATCATTATATTAAATTAAAAAAAAGCAAAATATACATATATCTGCAAAATAGCAAGAGCAGTAATGCCCCACCTGCCAAAAGATGGGAGCTGGATGATGCTGGGGTTGGTGGAGAGGCAGAGGGGTGGCTGCAGACTGCTACGGAGGGGTCAGTGGCGTTGGGAAGCCAGTTTTTTAGGGAGGTCTTTAGGTGATTGCCAAATACAGATGCAGTTTTCATGCTTTTAATATTTTAATGAAATTACTGGGAAAAAACCAAAGGTATGCAATTGGTTTAGGCTAGTTAACCAATTCCCATACTCTGAGATCTTCTGCTCAAGGGTAGGTGGGTGGCTTGTGCGTTTGGCCAGGACAGGGGATTTCAGGAGCCTACGGTAATCCAGAGGCTAGGGTGGGTTTCTGCCAGCCACACTGGGGTGGTTTTCAGGGTTTTCAAAGGAGGCTCTTGGGCTCAGCTGAAGGATAATGTATAAATGAATGGTGCTGAGCAGTAGCATAACTTAGATTAAATTTGGCTGTTTCCAGGTTTAAGCCTCAGACTTAAAGGGATGTAAAGGGATCTGCTTTTTTTCTGGAAAAACACAACCTAAAATTTCAGGTTTTGTGTTTGTTAAGAAGAAATGCAATCATTTCTTTTCAGCCTTCGCAACACAACTTGGCCCATAGAAACAAACAATGCCGAGAATGTGGAATTGCTCATAGCCCAGGCTGTTATGCAAAACAAAACTCTTTAGTGTTCAGAATTAAATTAACCAGCCTCTTTTTCATTTCACTGTGGGAGATAACTGATGACCTTGGAAGAGATATAAGAATTAAAAACATGCAAAATTATAGTTATGACCTTTTCTTGGTTTACTAATGATTATTAATACATAACAATTTTGTAAGGTATACAAAATCCTGTTATATTTAGCAAATCCTGACTGTATCTCTAATTACTTCACACCATACAGAAAGGGGCAAAAGCAAAATGAAAGGAGAGAAGAGGTTAGATGAATCACTCTGACACCTCCATCATTGCTCTGATTCAGAATCTGTTTTCTTACAGATATTTTCTCACAGTACAGTGAGCACAGTCTTTTAACAGCCTGGGAAGGGTTTATCTCTAGCTTAAACTAGCAGCTAGCAGAAGTAGGGAAGTGGTAGACATGTTACTATGTAGCAGGCTCATGTGTACTAGGGTTTGTATTTATTTAGTTTTCTGTATTTATTGAATGTATAGAAAGGATTCTCAAACACATACTGCTGTGTGACACAGGAAGCCAGCTCATGTTTAAGAGGCTTTAGTGTGACATGTCATTTAAGTGCAATCTCTTTCATAAAGAGACTTTAATTGCTCAGTTTTATATAACACCACGCTGTTGCTAATTTTGTTATTGAACGCTATAGGGAATGTAAACTTGCAAAGAGCAGCAGAAATATTTACTGTTAGTGTTTTTAAACATGGTGCATGGGGGAAAAATAACAACGTCTCTGCCTGTAGCATTAATGAGATTATTAGAGACCTCTGTGCCAGCTCAGAAGGAAAAAAAAATTGGAAAAGTTCAGGAACAACAGCAGAATTATCCAACAAATGGAAACTCATTTTGTAGAGAGAGTTCTAAGCTCTGTCTAATTACTAAGCCAAAGAGGGTTTAGAGGGGGCCTTCAGGTGTTTGCATCTAGACAAATGTAAGTTGCTCTTTCATCTAGTAAGAGAATGTAAAACAGCATCTAAAGATGGGGAAAATTCATGCTAGGAGCAAAGAACCTATTTTAAAAAGAATATGACTGAATACTGGAACTTAGCCTAGAGATGATGAGTTCTCAGCTGAAAATGGTTCTAGGTGTAGAAGCAAATTGTGTACATACTGCAGAGATAAACGAGGATTGGCCAGTTTCAGTGGCTTTTATTGAGGTGCAGGAGGTCATAATAGATACCGTATCAGATGATCCCTCTCTAGTCTCAATTCATGAATCTCGCTGCAACGATTATTTGATACACATTGCAGAATACTGGAAATGCCTCCACTGAACCCAAGGCAAAGAGCTCCTACCCCCTTTGCATGGTGTGTGTTTGTGTATGTATTTGCAGCATGCCAGGAGACAAATTATATCATCGCTGGCCTCAGGTTATGTTTGCATAGCATTTCTAGATCTATATAAATACATAACATAGCACAGAGACATACTGCACAGTACTATGCATGTGTTATGCAGTCTGTATATAGATACATAGGCATTATATATATATAAAAATTATAGTACAGAATTATGTCATGTAAATGTAGTTTGCACTGTGTTTATGTAACCTCACTGTATTTTATATTCTTGCCTGCTAAACATCTCCCTTTAAGGACAGGGCATTGTTTGCAGAAAATATTGACAACTGCTGATCTCACATAGCTGTAAGGTCTTGCTGGTCACTTGTTAGTGAGTTCCCAGAAGAACGTTGCTCATTCTGGCTGAAGCAAAGTCTGAATTGGTCTCTTTTTTACCGTGCTGGACTTCTGCAATATACTAGTACTGAAACCATTTTGGGGGAGCAAAAATACTTTGGTTTTCTGTTTTTTCAAGGCCAGGTGGTGTTGTCTGAAGGGGTTGCAAGTGTCAACACACGTGACGTTACCAGCTGCTATAGCCAACGCTCTGTAGACTGGAGCAGAGTAGTTAAGATGAAACAGTTTAATTCCTTGTTTCTCGGAAATTGTCCCTGACTGTTTCAATTCACACTGCTGCACGTGCAGTGATAACGAGATTGGAAATGCAGCATGCACTGATGATGCCTCCTAACAGAGCTGCCTGTCTTCTTCACTTCCCCATCCCTGATTGCCCTCAGCAGAGCACCGAGTGCCTTCTGAGTCAGGGCTCCATGGGCTGGTTTTCCCACTTTTTATTCCACTGTCTTCCTCTGAGGGAAGCTGGAAGGCTTATGTGCCTGTTGGCAGAGTCCTGAAATCCTGGAGTGCTAAATGCTAAATGAATTTTTTCTCCGGTTGATTTAAAGTAGCACAAGTTGTCATCCACACGTGAGGTCAGGTCTTGGGGTGAGCACTGTTGGTCAGATGTGCAATGGCATCTCCCTGCTCTGGAGAACTAAGACTACAGTGGAACAAAAGCAAACATAAGGAAAAGGTTGTCACTCAGGACAATTTTGATTCTCACAGCTCTACCCATGGGGGAACGCTAACCGCAAACATGGCCAGGCTGAGGAGGCTCGGCAGGGCTGCTGGCAGTGCGGAGGCAGCAGTGCTCTGCTGGGTGTGTCCACCAGTTTTGACTGTGTCTGTACGCTGTAGGCAGCAAATTCTTAACCATGGTCTCCTATTTGCATCTGGGTTAATCATAGGGTGGTTGGCTGAGCAATGCTTTCAGGGTTGGTGGCCCATATTGGCAATTTCCCCTTCTGATAGAAGCATATAAAGAAAAGGGAAGAGAAGGTCAAAAACGAGTTGCCAGCACCTTGCTAGTGAGGGATTTGGGATGCTCCATATACTTAGACAGGTTTCAGCACTCTACCTTGTGTGTGTGAATCCATGCCATAAGAGTGCTTTGGTCTTCCAGATGCCGGGCACAGCAAGGCATGACCGAGAGATGGCAATCCAGGCCAAAAGAAACCTGTCCAAAACCACCGACCCTGTAGAAAGACTTCGTCTGCAGTGTTTAGCAAGGGGATCTGCAGGCATCAAAGGACTGGGCAGGTGAGTCTAAGAAGTCAAATCCATTATTCAACCTAATAGTTTCAGCTGCACGGGCTCACAGCCTAAGCAGGGACCAAAACTTGAGTTTCCTGCTTCCAATGCAAATGCCACAAGCCACAGAGCCTGGGCTTGGGCCTCCTGTGTTTTGGGAGACTGGACTGACCTGCTCACCTGTTGGAGGACCAAGGGCCATGAACCACTCAGAGGAAGGTGCTTATGTGAGACCCAGAACAACTCCTGCCAGGGAGAGAGAGAGAACATAAAACATATCTCTCTGCTTGGTATTTTGTATAATTAACTTAAGTATCTCAATACTGAGGATTTTGTGCTTCCTTTCCTTTGGGGTGTGATTCCCTTGTGTGTAATGGTCTGTTAGCTGTCTAGTTTATGGGAGGCGTCTAGAGTCCTTCTGCAGTCACCCTGGGAGTGTGGGTTACCTCACCCCTAGGAAAGGGGAGCTGCACCACAGCCTGAAACCCCTCCTGGGCCCCCAAAACTACAGAGGGATCCTAGGTGACCAGCTGGAACTTCATCTACATGCCCAACTTTTAGTTGCCTCAATGTATAATGTAGGAAGATTCCATCAGTTAAGGTAGTCTTCGCCTCATTTAACTTCAGGCGCCCATTCTAAGCAAGTCATCTCTGCTCTTAGTAAGCATGTGGGGCAGGTTTGTTGGGGTTTTTTCCCTCCTTTTTGGGTTTGTTTTTTTCCCCCTCCTCAGAAGACTGTACAAGGGGGAAATGTTATCTCAGTAAGGTGCTCCTGTTCTAGACCACTGCAGCATTCTCCAAGTTTTCCTATGCATTCTCCTCAAATTGCACATTTTCCACAGAGTATTTCGGATTATGGATGATGACAACAGCAGGACCCTTGATTTCAAAGAATTTGTGAAAGGATTAAATGATTATGCTATGATGATAGACAAGGAAGAAGCACAAGAGATTTTCCGGATATTTGATAAAGATGGCAGTGGAACAATTGATTTTGAAGAATTTCTTGTTACACTGAGAGTAAGTCTGGGTATTTGTGTTCTCACTGCATTAAATGGAGAAAAAGCCTTGATTTGTCATTAGCTGAACACATAACACAGCATTGTTGTTCACCTTAGTAATTAGCAAAATCTACAGCTCTATTTAAAAAGTCAGTAACTCTTGAGAAGTTAAAATATTCTATTTCCATCTAAATATGCTAAAGGAGAAAATCACCCTAAACAACACCTCTGTGGATAAGAGGGCTCAGAAGACAAAATGTCTCTGCAATTTATTTGCAAGGCATAAGGCTCCTCGCAGAATAGCATAGCATAGCATAGCATAGCATAGCATAGCATAGCATAGCATAGCATAGAATAGTTTAGTTGCAAATAAATGGTTATGATTTTTTTTTAATGAATTGCTGCTTTGATTTACATACCTAGATTCCTATGTTGCAGTCCGAGTAACTATGTGATTCAGTCCATTAACTTCACTTCTTTATGTGCCATTTTATGACACATCTCCTTATAACATGAACTAATCCAGTGGTGGCTTTCTCTAATCAACCACAGTGTGACTGATTTTGACTGGAGCCTCTTTGCTCTGCTGAAGTCTAAACAATAAGAAAAGAATTAGTGCTTAGAGTAGTTAGTAAGTTCTTGTTAGAAGTATTTAAAATGAGTAGAATAGAAAAGTGTTCTAGGTAGCATTTTCTCTCTTATTGTCCATTTACTATTGTATTGATAGACACTATTTGAATAGTCTCCATCACACTGCTGTTTTGGTTATGTATCGCCCTTCCTAGCTCATGGACAGTGTAGACGAGCAGTTTGTTGTTCCAAGTGCCTTGAAGTTGGTTTACTATTAACAGCAGCAGTTACTAGAATTTGGAACTGGGTAAGTAGCTGGCAGAAATAAAATTACTCTTAATATTTCTTTACAGCCTCCCATGTCAAATGCAAGAAAAGAGATCATCATGCAGGCATTTAGGAAGTTAGACAAGACTGGAGATGGTGTCATAACAATTGAAGACTTACGGGGAGTGTATAATGCAAAGCATCATCCCAAATACCAGAATGGAGACTGGACAGAAGATCAAGTTTTTAGGGCCTTTCTGGATAATTTTGATTCACCCTATGACAAAGATGGGAAGGTAAGTGAAAGACCTAATGTTAAACCATGAAATCACCATATGACTCAGCATTCGACTTGAATTATTAAATGTGAGAGTGACTACAATACCAAACGTACATTTGCGTCACATTTATGGAGGACAGTAAAATGGATGCATCACCTCTGCGTAGGACTGTTGGCACGGCTTGCTTATGCATTTGGAGGCAAAGAGGCTCTGCAGGAGATGCAAGGGTGGACATGAGATCGCATTTACTGGCTTGTAGCCTTAATGCCCTAATTTCATAGGTTACTATAAGTCTATCTTCAGACTAACCCACACAATTGCCGATTTTCAAAATCCACATAAAGTGTAAAGTTTTTCCCTTCTTAAGGCAATAAATACCAGGTTCCAGTTCACAAGCAGGTTCCCTAACATGTGAAATAATTTACAGTTAGCACTTCTGCAGTGTCTGTAGTTATTGAGACACTTGTCTTGGAACTCACTCCATAATAGAGATAGATTTATCCACAGAGTTGGAAGGAGGCTGAGGTTAGGGAGGGAGGGCTGCCACCAGCCACGTGCCCTGAGGAGCCGCTAGCTGGGGCAGGGCTGGGAGCTCTTCCTGCCCTCCACCTTGACTTTCCGGTGCAGGCACCCTCTGTGATGGACTTCTCATGCATCTGCTTTGTAACTGTCTCCAAGCTAAGCATGCTTTGTTTCCTCTTGTTATGTAGCTGCAAACTTCCTTGGTCTGAACTTCAACATGTCTGACCAGCTCAGAGCAGTCGTGGATCTCTGCTGTTCACATTGTGATATTCTCAGCCCAAGCTGTTAATAGTAACAAACTAGATAAGGTTTCATCAGCACTTTGTAGAATGTCTTTAATACTTTGCACTTCTGAAGTGGCACCTGGGTTTTCATGGCTGCACTACTGGTGACTCCTACCTGTCTAATGGCTGGCTACTACACCCAAATCCTCCACTTGCTTTGTTTCCCACAGGTAGGGTCTCAATTTGTAGGGAGGTAATGGTTTTAATTACACTTGAGCATGACTTTGCACTTGGTAGAGCTGAATTTCGTCCCTTTTCCTGTTGTCTCATCCTTAGAGGCACCAGTTGCATGAGTTGTCCCCTTCCTTCTCTGCACCAGTGGTGAAGTCTAGCAAACCGCAAGCAAAATGTTCCTGCTTTTTGTGCAGAGGTCATATGTGAACAAATAAAATGAGTCCTCAAAATGATCCTTGACAAGTTCAATGCCTTGTACCTCATAAACGCTGCAGTGTTTGAGCTAGTAGAAAAGTTACCTCCCAGCACCCACCTCTTCTTCAGCAATCCTGATGTTAGCCCACCCCATTAGACTTTCCTTCTGAGAACTGACTGTGACTTTCCTGTGCCTGAATCAGAGGTCACTAATGACACCGGTATGAGCTGAAGATCTAAAACATTTTTAGCACAAATGCTTCAAGGCTAAGCATCTGCTAGAAAGGTCCCCTTCACCGTGATCTTGCCAGGTGCAGCTGAAGTAGGCAGGGTCAGCAAAGCTTGTGGTGGTAGGACAGGCTACAGCATGCACTTCCCCCCCATTGTCACATTTTACTTAGCTCTCAAATGCACAACATGGCAGGAGCAAATATTTTTCTGTGTGCTGTTTATTCAAAGAATGGCCTATACGGTTCAAGAGTTAAGGCATCACAACAAACATGTACTGTTTGTATCTGCTAATCTGATTTTTATCTTTTAAATGGTCATTTTAAAACTGTTTCAACCTCAAAAAACCCATGAAAGATATTCAAAACTCTTAGATATTTGAAAGAAATGTTTGCTTCTTTCAGTGAGAGCTGTTTAGAGCAATGATATTTTCTCTCTAATGAATGGATATAAAGCTCCTGGCTGTCTCTGGGTTGCACCGGAAACCATATCCACTTATACTGATCATAATACAAACAACCAGATTATAGCATCCCTGGAAAAAAATTCATTAAAACATTTGTCTTCTTGGGCAGCACTGATTTTAACTTTGGTTCCAGGTAAGGTTAGTTTAACTCTGCATGTTTCATTTCCATCCAAGTGTTCCTGGAGGAAAAGAGCTCTTAAATTTTCAGTGTCTTCATTCTTCCTGTTGGATTCCTTTTCACTAGCAACAACAAGAAATAGCAGGTGTTAAGTTTCATTTAGAGTTCTTCTCAATGTGTACTTTTGACTTACCATAGCATTAAAAAAAAATAAAGGTTCATTTTCCTGTTTTAAATCCTTCTGTCTTAGGTCACAACAGAAGAATTCATGAACTACTATGCAGGAGTCAGCGCTTCAATAGACACAGATGTCTATTTTATCATCATGATGAAGAACGCTTGGAAACTTTGATCATATGATTAAAGGAGCAAGACTTTATTTCCACTTTTTGTAGGTTCCCATGATTAAGTGCACACACAACAACACACTCGTTTACAGCTTCCAGTAACTGTGCCAATTACAGTCAATCTGCAGAAATAATTCCCAGATGCTTCGGTAGGCTCAGCCTCAGGGGACTGGAGCATAACCAGAGAGCGTATCTGGCATCCTGCCACTCATCAGATCTGTCCCTTTTCTCCCTGCATCCCTGACAAGTCTTTTCTTTTCTGAGATGAGCTGCTCCTTTCTTCTCAGACATCTGCAGTAGGTCCCTGTGGGTCCTGAACGTATCCCTTCCTCCAGTGTTACATACAGCTCTGTTAGAGAATGCAAGAGAAGGAAACCAAAATATTCTGGAAGGGTGGTGGTCTGGGGTAGACTGTTTCAAACATGAGGAAGCCTGTCGCAGGTGGGTCACATAGCCTTTCGCCTGTAGCACTGCAGCATCTCTTGGTTTCTTGGGTCTCACTTGTGGGATGGAGCAACAGCTCAGCTCACTGCTGGGAACGTGTGAGTTCCCTGTGCCAGGAGGCTGGAGGGAGAAACAAATCAAGAAGGAAGACACAGATCAGAATAAATGCAAAACGCCCTTTAAAGCCCTGCTTTCTCCCCAGCTTACAATTCAGAATACAGGCATCTTTCCTGTGCGTGCCTTGTTTCAAACCTCTGTGGGCCTCCTTATGGCTTTTTTCCCCCTTTGATTTCTTTCTTTTTGTACTGTGAAATTTTCTCACTAATATTTTTCTTTAAAGGGCATACATGTGTTACAGTATTTTCTTCTCACTGTTCCTGGAACATTAACTGGTCTGGTAGCTGTTGGCTGTACACACCTACGCTGAAAGTTGCTTAGTACTTTTTGTATTTATACTGGTTTCTGACCAAGCTATGACTTCAGGGAACTTTCTGGGAACTCAAGAACTTGTAACTTTCTTGTCTTGTCATCATCTGTTTCTGATGCTGAAAAAAGGATGGGAACCTGCCCTCCTGGTCACACCAATGGGCCTGTTTCAGTTCTGAGGTCTGTCCTTTCCCCATACAGAGAATGGGGAAATAGGGCACAAAGGAAATAATTGTAAAAAAAAAAAAAAAAAGAAAAGAAAAAAAAAGAAAAAAGGAGGGGTATGCTGTCTAATTATTCTTGCCTTGATTCCTTTTCCTTTTGTCTTCTTCTTTCTGCTTCTCTCACATCATTGTGCTGCTCTTCCATACTGAGATGCTGCTGCTGTAGCAAAGAGTAAATGGCTGTGTGTGGCAGCATTTGCTCCATTTCAGGCTGGCAGGCAGCTAAAAGTGGTATAGGCTTATAGACTGGATTTTTCAAAAGAGCTTGACTGATGAAATCTCAACTCTTGCTTAGCCTGGGCTGCTAACAGTTCAAACACTGAAGTCCTGAGTGCTTGCTGCCCTGGTCCGGTGCAAACTCTGCTTTCGTTTTGTCAAGCCGTGATCTCAGTACGAGCAATAGATTCTTGCAATTCCTTAGTAAAAGCTGTGCAAACTCAATTATTTTCTTTGTTCTGTAAGCCTCCAGAAACTTACATACTGGCTGACACTGAAAACTGGTGGAAAGAGTCTCTTTATGATTGCCATCGATCTAAGAGGAACCTTTACTTACTGCAATGCTACCGAAGTGCCAACATACCTTATATGAAAAACAAACTTTCTATCAAATACAGGTTGTACATGTCCTGGCAGCTTGAATATAGTCCATTTCTTTCTCATTTATTAATTGGCTGTACAACAGGATGTCATGTTATCTGTCTTCTGTGTTTCAAATAAAAATAAAGTAATGTGAACGGACTGTGGGAATCACAAAATGAAACAACCGTTTCCTTCTGACATGCTATCTCATGTCTTCAGACCCCACAGCGATCTGTTGTGCTGACATTTAATCAAACACAGTGGAAGTTTTAATCTGAATAGCTGCAACCAGTTTGTCTTTTCAGTGCTAACCCTTTCCAATTTTACTTAATCCCAAATGCAATATACTTTTTCAGAAGGGAGGAGTGGTACTGAAAGCAGCCATGCTTTTTTAAAACCAGCAGAAGCTTCGACACTGGCCGCTGGGAGCCTTTGACAGAGCCTGTGACGGCTGGGGAAAGCTCAGTGCTCCAGGGTGAGATTTCTGCACTGAGCTTGACAAGCGGGATTCTGTGTGGGGACCTGAAGGACGTGAGCCACGAGAGCTCAAACCCTCTTGTCCTGGTGGGAGAGCTCAGCACCCACCCTGCGGTGAGCACCCCAGGCACCCTCAGAGCTGCTCCCAGCATCTCGGGTCTGGCTGTGTGCGGACCTCATCGCTCGCTGGATATGTTTCTCAGCATCAGGAGGACATTTTTCACAATGTAGTCATTAAAAAATATGTACGGAGCATGTTGCCAAGGGCTAGTTTCAGATTCCTTCAAAGTCAGTGGCAACATTTCCTTTCACTTCTGTGCGAACAGAGTTGCTCCTGGAGCAATCGGAGTAAAAACTGGTAACTGCAGAAAAGGTGCTTTCAGGAAAAATAAGTAATCTGGGAAAGAACAATGTGATTTTTCACTTGTAATCAGATGCCATAAAACACAAATTGGAATCTGTGCTGTAAGAAAAGTAATTTGATTAATATGCGTGCAAATTCATGGAACAAGCACAGGCATTGCATTGCCTGCTAGGTAGGAAAATCTCTACTAGGAGACGCACAGCCATAACGACACACTGGGCACACACACCTGAGATTCAGCAGAAACACTTTGCAGAAGTTAAAGGCAAGTTAAAGGGGTTTGAACCAGACATGAAGGACTATCAGGGCTAACAGCAGGTGCCCAGAGCCAGCCTTTAGCTGTCCCTGCCTGCTGGAGCTGCTGCACTGAGATCTGGGAGAGACAAAAATGAAGCTTAAGGGCCTGTGTTCAGCTGCAGGCTGTTGTGTGCTGGTTACAGACCCAGCAGATGCTGGAGATAGATGGTGGTGCAGGCTGTCCTGCCAGTCTGTGGTTGCACAGCACACACGCAGATGCACAGTGGCAAATGCATGCGATCGTATCTGGCGTTAGCATCAAGATTGTCAGATCTTGGTTGGTGCTTCATGTCTGAAGCACTATTTCTTCTTTCTGATTGTGCAACAGACGCTAAACAGGATGGCACAAACCATAGGAACATCTGAGTCTGCAGGGCTGTGGGCCAATACCAGAGGCGAAGGTTTTGCCTGCACCTTGAGCCCCAGCCTGCCCTGGGGCACAGCACCTTGTCAGGGCTGAGCTCTGCCCTCCCTGCCAGGCAGCACCACAGCTTCCTCAAAAAATGCTGGTGGAGCCCTGTGATCCCTCATAGAGGAAAAAGGCTCCCTTATACCTCCCCCAAAACTCTGCCCCCGCTCCCAACCTTCACCTGAGCCATCAGAGAATCTCTGTGACACCCCCCCAAAAGAACACAAGGCATGGGGGCGGAGAGGCAGCGGACGGGCTCTCCCGCTGGTGTGTTCCCTGGGGAAAGGCAGCACTCCTGCAGCACCCTTTACTGCATTTTGGGTTTGCCCCTTGTGTGCTTTTTGTGGCTTTGTATTTTTGTCCTGCAGGGGAAATTTTTGGCTTGGTATGGTCCAGAACGGTTGTTTGGCTTACACTCTCTCCTGCAGCATAAATTTCTGGTTCAAGGAACTGAGTTTTAATGCAAGCCCCACTCACTAACATATATTCTTGAAATTAGACCACAAGATATATTCAGTGATCTGATTAATTTTGTTGGTCTCCTGGCACAAAGCTGTCTTGGCAAAGGCAGATGGAAGCAGCTGAGGTTCTTGCAGATGAAACCACCTGTGCACGTTGCTGTATAAAAGCCGACTTGCCTTTACGTAACAGCTTTTACATGGTACCGCCTCAAGGGTCAAACCAGAGCTGGGCTCATGGCCTCCGCTGTCACCAGCTGGCAGAAGGAGCACGCCTGGTTATTTCAGTTATTTTTGCCTCCTAGCTCCTGTCCTCCACACTGGGAGCAGCTGCAGCAGCAGCCCTGCTCAGATTTCCCTGGTAAAACAGATAACACCGAGAGCAACCTACTGCCGTCAGCAGCTGCCCACTTTCTATAACTTTCGCTATGATTATAGCCCATCCTGTTTCTCTAGAAATCCTTTCTCATAGCCAGCTCAAGAGGAAGGGGTGAGCAGACAGCAGGTTTCCTAATGGGCTGTACTTAACGCCAAGTCCCCAGGTGGCTGAGAGCAGCCTCCGTATTTGAAGCAGGTTTGCTCCAGCTGAGTTTGAAGTCTCCGTGATTTCAAAGCGAGCATTGGTTTCAACTCTAACACCTCTTCAGCTCTAGCACCTCTTCAGCTCTTATACCAACAGAGGCTGCAGGAGGTGGGAGTGCTGTAGGACGCAAAATCTTCAGCTCGCTGGTTTGCAGCCAGCCCCAGGTACTGCAGCCCAAAAAGTGCTGAAATCTGGACCTCATGCCTTGCAGCATTACATCCCAATGGGAACTGCAGCTGGAGAATGGTGGTGGGATCCGGGCGTTGTTGAATGTCTTGGCAAGTAGGAAAAATGAGAAACAAAGGCAGTGCAATGTTTTGTAAAAGCTAATTCAAGCCTGGTTTTCTGTGCAAAAGCAGAGATTGTGGTAAAATGTAAGCAGTGTTTATTTTCCAAAGACAAATCTGTTCTTTTTTTCATTGAAAACACAATCTTTTTGCCAAAAACCACAATCCATTTTTTTTTTTATTTCCAAATGATACTTAGCATTCAAAATTTACTGATTTTTTTTTTTTAAGCTTATATACATTTTCTGGGGAAAAAAAATTAACAGATGGCTTTAGAGAAGCTCTGACTTTGTGGCATAGATTTATTCCCTTAGACATTTCCACCAATGCATTTCTACTTTGTTTCTCATTTTTTATTGTTTTACTAACCTTTTAATTTGGTGATGGTGCTAATGTTGGACTAATCTCATTTCATTGTGAAAATGAATGAGAATATAAGTTATGCAGTCAATATTTACCAATAACCAGAATAACTTTTTTTATGTTCAT